GTGATAAATAGAGGGAAAATTAGGTGTTTTCCCTAACACATCTCATTCCACCCTCCCCCATATCCCCCAGAGGGTAGAGGAGCCTCGTCAAGGCTCTGTCATAAATTTTTAACAAGCCAGTCCGTCTGTCCTCTTGGGGAGTGTGTGTATATTTGCACATTTATATCTTCCTTTTTCTTCACATTGGCAATTGAATGGAAATGGGGAATGTATAAACATTATTACCAATATTGTAACATTATCACCTTATTGTTACAAAGTGTGAAAAACTGTCCGTAAAGCATTAAGCCACTTTACTATACACCAAGAGATATTTACAGCAATGGCATTTTTATGAATTGAGTAGCTAGTGTTATTAAGAAGTACTAATTAGGTTCAGCCCATCAGAGCAACATTCTCTTGTAATGCATGGGTGTTATTTTGCATCCCCCAAATATTATGACCGCACATTTATCTGCACATACACACTGTAATGATACATTGAAAACACGCATTCACACATGTAGGCAGTGTATACAGTTAATAGTGTATATGTCAGAATATGACCTGTAGCACTGTCCTTCTGGGACTTTCCATTGACTTCCATTAATTTCCCATTAATGTCATTAGCCTAACCCAGACCTTCACCCTTACCCTACCCATTACCAACACATACTGTACCTAACCTTATAATGCTAACACAAACTCGAATTAAACCTTAGTCATAAACCTAACTCAACAGTACCTGTAAGTCCCCACAATGTCGTATATTCTTGGGAAATTGTGCCCACAATGTAACACACACACACACTAAGGTACATTTTTGGTTTGCTTAAATAACCATGAATGTATAATAAAAATTCTTTGTTTTTAGCTTCACTCAGCAAAACACAAATTATATTTTCCAATTAGAGAAGGGCATTATCACTGTTTGCACCATGTTAGTGGTCTTGTTTGCCCCAGTGATGAACATGCTGGTCAAGGCTACAGAAGTGGAATGTAGGGGCCCCTTGTCCAGATCCGGCATTCTCCAACCACCAATTAGGGCCTACATGGAGGAACTGACTGTCACATTAACATGAGTGACTGGATGCCGGTTGCTCCTCCGCTGTCTGGAAAGGATCATGGCATGGGCAAGGATGATGTTTAAGCCAGCCAAGTCCAGATCCCTTGTCCTGAGGAAGGGGAAAGTCGGAAACATTGTCAGAGAAGCCTGTGAAGAGCTTAGGGAAGATGTTCGATAGCACCCTGAAAGACAAAGCACCAGTGGAGGCAGCCCATGTAAAGCTAAAGGCATGGCTAGCAGCAGTGGAAACGTCTGGTCTCCCTGGGAAGTTTAAGGCATGGATATACCAGCATGGCATCCTGCCAAGACTTCTGTGGCCACTACTGATTTATGAAGTTCCAGTAACCATGGTGGAGGGCTTTGAACCCAATGTCAGCCAATACCTACGGGGATGGCTGGGTCGGCCAAAGAGCCTCAGCAGCATTGCCCTCTAGTCTCTGCTTTACAGAGACTCTGCTGACACCAGAGTCTCTTCTGCCAGCATCACATTTAGAATGTGAAGATATGGCGAGCACAACAGGCAGTCAACCAAGCAGAAGCGAAACTGAGACATAGCGTCTTAGTTGGCTCTGTGGCAGTTGGACGAGCTGGTCTAGGTAGCCACACAAAGCCACGCTACAACCAAGCCCGAAGACAAGAGCGATGACAGCTGGTACAGGGAGAGATTTGTGCAGAGATAGAGGAGCAACGCCAAAGTAGGAGGGTGGAAATGCACCAGCAAGGAGCCTTGACTGATTGGGACCATGCATCTGCCCGGAAGATCACCTGGACAGAACTATGGAAGTATGAAGAGCAGGACTTAAGTTCCTGATCCAGTCAGTGTATGATGTCCTTCCAAGTCCATCTAAATTTTATATCTGGGGCCTTGCAGAAGCACCAACATGCCCACTGTGCCCGGATCATGGTTTCTTGGAGCACATCCTGAGCTTCTGCCCTAAAGCGCTGGGAGAGGGAAGGTGCATGTGATGCCATAACTAGGTGTTGAAGGCAGTAGCAGACACCATCTGCACTGGAATCCAGGAGTCAAAGCACCAGTCTCCTTTGAGGCACAATGTCTTCTTTGTCAGGGCAGGGGAGAAACCTGAGAGAGCAGGTAAGGGCGCAACTTGACTGCTAGCCATGGCTTGGGATTGGCAGTAGCATGTGGACCTCGGAAGGCAGTTAAAGTTCCTAGAGCACATTGCAAGGATGTCACTGAGGCCAGATCTGGTCTCAACATCTGACTTGAAAAAGCAAGTCGTGTTACTGGAGCTTACAGTACCCTGGGAAGACAGGATGGAGGAGGCTCACGAAAGGAAGAAGGTGAGATATCTTGAGGTCATTGAGGCATGGAGACGCCATGGATGGAGGGCCCACTGTGAGCCAATAAAAGTGAGCTACAGAGGCTTCCTCAGTCTGACGGCATTGGGCATTCAGGATCCTTCACATCAGAGGGTTGCTTGAGAAAAGAGCAACCGGAAACATCAGTGAGGCCACTGAAAGAGCCTCAAGGTGGCTGTGGATCAAGATGGGAGACGCATCGAGTAGCATGCTGCTTGAACACAAACTGGGGCATCATCAACCCCAGTTGGGATGCCCAGACGAGGGTTTCTAAAGATCAAAGACCCGAAACACCATATGACCCTGGGTCCTTCACTGATGATGTGTTCAAGCTGCACCGGCTAGGTGTTTCAAAATCTAAATCTAATCTATAGATTTGTAACCATCTCAAAAGTAAACAGATATTTTATGAGATTTATTTAATATCACTTGGTAAAAGGCTGTGCTAAATGTGGATCTGTATGGAGAAAATCTGGAGAATACTTGTTGTGAATACTGGAGAATAAGTTGTGAGTATTCTCCAGATTTTCTGGATACAAATGTTCTGTATCAAAGAGAACAATCATATATGCTTTCTGTCTGGTGTGTTATCTTTTGTCTCAAAAACTGTATATTTTACCTCTTACATTTGTCCTTATATAACGATTTAATGGGCAATCACATTTTTGTTCATAACACCACCCAAGGTGTGTTAATATTCAATACATAATATATATTTGTCTCTAGTACTTAAAATGTACTAGAGACTTAAAATGTACTAAGCTACATTTGTCCTGAAATAATTGTAAATGTATATTCTGTCAGTAGGAAATAATAATGGCTGTAAACTTCAGTGCAGGGAACAGAAAATCCTTGCACATCAAGGGCTTCATGAATAATAATTTCATCACCGCTACCTTGTGGTGATTCCAGAGTACAGATGTTTGTTTATGGGTAAACTAGACGGTATATTTAGCAGCTGACAGGTCTGGAACAGATTCAAGGACTGGAGGCCAAAGAGATGACACTCTTGATCAAAAATGAGATCCCTACCAGCAGCCATGGTCATAGACGTAAATAGACATGTATCTACTAACAAATGACACAATAAATAAACATCTTGTTTAGCTCAGATGTGCCTGTTATACCCTCAAAAATTACAGACCCACTGATACTGACTTTGGGAAACAACCAGTAGCAGTCTATTTTTTTCAGAATTTCCTGCGCTTCTAGTATGTGAATCCCCATTTCTTTTCTCTGATGGAAAAGAGTGTCTGACAGAATATTTTTGCATACCTGCCTCCTATTCCTCCACTTGGGTGCTCTAACTGTCCTGAGACAAAGTAGGGGAGGAAAAGATCAAGTTCATTTGTTATAAATTTACCTAGAGGTAAGACCACAGTCCGCACTAAGTTATTAGCTTTTCTCTGTTACCCTCTTTCTCTGCTGTTTCCCTTGGGATATCTATTTATCTTATTCTCTGCATTCCCTCTTAAAGTATATGCCATTTTTACTCTGGGAAGCTCTTTTACAACTACAGAAAGCCATGTTTATCTATAATTAGGGTTACACAATATATCACATACTTTTTTCTGACAATATCTCTATGTGTGATATCAATATAACAAATTCTATTGCTTTTTCACATTTCTGCATAAGAGGTGAGAGGTTGGTGGGGTCTCAGCACGGCACTATCTATGCTGGAAGCGTCACTAGCAGAGCTCAGTTAAAGCATACTAACATACCTTTGTTTTTAGGCAGTAATAATTTAACTGTAAGTCTTAATTTTAAATTGTGATCAAGAATGTCCTGACTTCAGTGTTTGGTTCACAGTATATCACAGCATATCCATAGCAAATTTACTGCATGAATGTATTATGTACTTAAATAATGTAATGTATATAGTGCAATGTAATTTTTCTCTTCGGTCTGCTGGTTGATGGTAATTTTGGGCTTGTTGGGTCCCAACTACCTGACCCAACAATTAGTTGAAATAAAATTTCACCGAATTTGGTAAAAGTTGGAGCTCTTTCATTAGTTCCCAATCATTCCTCTGATTTTTTTTTTGGAAAGTTTTTTTTTTTTTTTACCTGCAAGCAAGGTTTTTTTTATTGCTATAAGATCATGTTATTCTCAACACTGATGAGCTACTGTATGCATTTATTCTTGTGCCCTAGCAATTGTACATAACTGACTATACAGCTCCACTGCTGGGGCGAACTGTATAGTGCCTTTTAATGGAAACCAACAAGTCTGTCTGTTGGAATGAATATAATTTGGTGGGAAATGTAGTTTATATATATTCATATTACATACACTATAGAAGGTTAATCAATAGACTAGGGAATGTCCGTAATAAGTAATATAAATGAGTATGAACACATGCAAACTTCCTGTGTTTCAACCTTTCCATTCTGACGTGGTGATACACTAAGCTGTGTCCTTTAGTGGGCAGTAAGTGTTACAGGATTGTGAAGGTCCTGTGGTTTCAGCTCTGTGTGAGTGTGAGATGATAAACATTTTCCTGTCTCTTATTGTCTCCATCATGGTTTTAAAAATGCTATCTTCTGTATGAGTTTCTAATATTAGATTTTAGCTGTGAAACATCCTTTGGGCAGCTTCTAATCTAAAGTCCCATTTCAATTTTGTCCCCTAGAAACTGGCCACAGCTGCTGAAGTGTTCCAGAAGGAGCATGTTTGGAAAGATGAATTTGAGGTAAACAGGAAAGAAAAATGCACACACCAGAACACACAAACACACAGGACCATACACAAAGGCTTTAAAAAGAAAGAATTAGTTACAGAGATGGTCCTTCATTAAGTCTGGATTTACATTTACCTCTTTGATGTGATCTCTTATCAGGTTTCTGTCGTAAACATAGATCACACCTTCACTACTAAATGGAGCCATCTTTATTGTATTTTGTGGCATATTGGCTCTGTTCGAATTCATGGGCTGCATCCTCCAAGGACGCGGTCTACCTAGACTGGATCCTTCGAAGTCCGTGAAAATAAGGAGACCGGAAGTGTTTTGGCTGTGAATTCAAACAGGTCTGCCCTTCGGCGGGTTTTACCGCCGTATGCTCTGTGGCTTAGCAACCGTTAAAGTTGACACACAAAGCAGGAATAGAATGAATACCGAAGTTTTCAAAACTGTTTGTTTATTTCTTTCCTTTGTATTGTAAAGTGAACAAAGACTACACTCACAAGAATCCAGAGTGGAATAAAGGTTCCAACCACCGGGAGCATGAATAAATAAAATCAAATGTAATGATAGAAACCTTAGTCAGATTCAATTGGTAATACATTACAGGATCCGGAGGATATTAACAATGCCTTCCGAGATTTCTATAAATCTTTATACACATCACAGTTAAATCCATCAGATAATGATATCAAGCGATTTCTGGATAAAATAACTCTTCCTAAATTATCAGAGAGTCAAAGAGCGACCCTGGACTCACCGCTGTCTACAGCTGAAGTTCAGGAAGCATTAAAAAACATGCCAAATAATAAAGCGCCAGGTCCAGACGGGTTCCCTACTGAGTTCTATAAAGAGTTCTGGAACATTCTGGCCCCAACGTTCCACAGAATGCTGCAGGAAACTCTAGATAATGGCAAATTTCCAGTTAATATGAATTCTGCCACCATTAGTCTCCTGCTTAAGCCAGGCAAAGATCCTATGTTTCCGACCAGCTATCGTCCCATATCCTTAATTAATGTGGATATTAAAATAGTCTGTAAAGCTTTAGCAAAACGGTTAGATAAAGTCACTCCTCTCATAATCCACCCAGATCAAACTGGTTTCATTAAAGGGAGGCAGTCAGCTGCTAACACACGCAGACTGCTGAATTTAATAGATTATTCCTACAGCAAAAATCTTAAATCCTATATATTGTCCTTAGATGCAGAAAAAGCATTCGATAGAGTAAACTGGAAATTTTTATTTGCTACTCTACATAAATTTGGCTTTGGCAATTCCTTTATAAATTGGTTAAAAATATTATACAGCTTCCCAACAGCCTGTGTCAGGACAAACAATCAAACATCTTCCAGTTTTTGTCTCCAGAGGGGCACCAGACAGGGATGCCCACTCTCCCCCTCACTTTTTGCTATTTTTATTGAGCCTCTGGCTGCTACAATCAGACAAACAAATATGATTAAAGGTATAAAAGGCATGAAAATGGAGCATAAAATTAGTCTTTACGCAGATGATGTATTACTTTATCTCCAGCACTCAAACACTTGCCTCTCTCAAGTGATTAGTTTACTAGAATCTTTCTCAAAAGTCTCAGAATACTCTATAAATTGGTCTAAATCTGTAATACTACCAATTAATTGCTCTCTACAGAATCCCTCAGGTCTACAATTGCAATCAGGAAATATCAAATATTTGGGAATTACTGTGTCATCTAAACTAGCTGAGTTACCAAAACTCAACCACACCCCTCTTTTAATGAAAATAGAAGAGGACCTAGAAAGATGGAAATCGCTTCCGATCTCCCTTTTGGGTCGGGTAGCCTCAATTAAAATGATGGTCTTACCCAGAATTAACTACCTATTTTCAATGATCCCAAATAAACCATCAACCGAATGGTTTAAATCTCTAGATTCTTCCATCTCTAAATTTCTTTGGAAGGACAAACCCCCTCGTATCAGCTTAAAAACACTACAGAAAACTAAAGACAGAGGGGGACTAGATTTACCTAACTTCCAATACTACTATTTAGCAAATAGATTACAATACATCTCTAAATGGATAAAACATAATCCCTTAGATGAGCCCTGGATAGACACAGAACAGGATATATGCAGTAATATAATAATCTCAGATTTGCCGTTTATTAGCTCTAAGATCAAACGGCACCCATGTTTCAAAAATATTAACATCAGCTCTTCCCTGACAGCATGGTGGGAATTTCTAAAAATAACGAACTCATCACTTATCCCGTGCAGTCGTACACCCATCTGGAATAACCCTGACATTCTACAAAACAATAATGTGATAAACTTTCCGTACTGGAAGAATAAAGGTATTACATATCTGGATCATTTGTTTGAAGGTACGGAGTTTATCACATTCGCTAGATTAAATTTGCAATATGGCATTAACAAAAATAAATTCTTAGAATATGAGCAAATCAAAGCTATAATTAGAAATAAATTTAAGCATATTGATGGAGGTTTAATAATTCCAACTAAAATATCAGAGTTTCTAGAGTTAACCCCCCCCAAACTACTGTCTAAGTTATACAGGACACTGACTAAACTGGATGATACAATATCTCTTCCTATTACTAAATGGGAGGAGGATTTATCAGTCAGCTTTGAACAAAACATCTGGGCTCAGATATGTCTAAGAACTTTTAACATGACCAGAAACCCCAATTTACAATTAATACAATACAAAATCCTCCACAGAGTGCACTATACAGGTCAAAGATTATTCAAGATGGGTTTTGCGCAATCTAACATCTGTCTACAGTGCACAGGCAATCGACTTGATAATTATTTTCACGCGCTATGGTTATGCACGCCGGTTCAGAGATTCTGGGTACAGGTATGTAAGGATCTATCACTGTGCCTGGGTTGTAAAATCCTAATTTCCCCTTCAGTTTGCTTGCTGGGTGACTTTGAGGGAAGCTCTATGGGAAAAAAATCGGTTTGCTTGGCATTCACTGCATTATGTATCGCAAAGAAAACTATCCTCATGAATTGGAAGAGTAAGGATAAACTCAACATCAATCAGTACAGAGATCTGTTGTTGGATCATATTAATCTTGAGACAGCATCTGCATCCCCATCAGACCGATCTCTCTGGGCTCCCTTGATCGGCTCCATCACTTAGTGTAGTGGGGGGCTATGGGGTGCGTCTTGTGGGGCGCGGGGGCTAGTTCGGGGGTCCTTGGGTCCTGGGGGCTCGGGGGGGTGCTCGGAGCGGGGTGCCTGGCGGGTCTGGCCCGGGGGACTGTTGCCCCCGTCGGGGCGGGGTCTGGGGCGCCGCGGGGGGGTCCTGCGGCGGCCGCGTGCGGTGCTCTTGGGGGGTTCCGTGGTGGCGGACGTGGGCTACTGGCCTGGTGGCTGTGCTGCTGCTGGGTGGGGCTGGGCGCCGGGCATCGGTTCTTTTGTGGTGCTGGCCGGGGTGCTTCTGCTCTGCGGGGCGTCGGGGCGTGCCTCGTCTTCCGGTGCCGGGTTTCGGTGGTTGGCCGTGGTGCTTGCCGTGGTTGCGTCGTCCGGGGGGGGCGTGGGTGGTCGCGCCTGTGGCCGGGGTTCGTGTGTGTCTGTTGTGGGCGGGTTGCGGGCGTCGGGGGTCCCTTTGGAGTGCCCCCGGGTCGGGGTGTGGCTTCGCTCTGTTGGGGCGGGTGCCGGTGACGCGTGGTGCGGTGCATCGTGCGCGGCTTGGGAGTGGAGGGTTGCTCGGTGTTTGGCGGCGGGGGGGGGACGGGCCGTGGCCGGCGTGGCCGTCCTCCTCTCGGCGGCCTGTGGGCGGTGCGGGGCCGGAGCGGGGTGGGTCGTGCTGCTTTCGCGCCGGGCGCGGCGGGGGTGGTGGGGTCGCGTCTGCTGCTTTCTTTTTGCTGCTTGTGCCGGCTTCTGGCGGCTGGGGCGGCCTTGCTGCTCTGGCTCTCTGGCGTGCGCCGGGTGGGGCTGCTCTGTCCTTTGCTTTGCCTTGCGGCTGTGTTTGCTGTGGTCGGTGGGGGCGGGGTGGTTTCGTTGTGTTTTTGGGTGGGGGAGTCCGCCTGGGGGCTTGGTTGGTGCCGTCGGTTCGTCCTTGTCGGCCTTCCGGTGTTGTTTCTGTTGGGGCTGCTCGGGCCCCCGCATGCCGGCGGTGCGCTGCCGGGGGGATTCCTGTTCGGCGGGCTTGCCTGTCTCCTGGGAGGGCAGGCATGTTGACTTTTCTGGGGAGGAGCATCTGGGTGGAGGGGTCCTCGTGGTGTGGCGGTGGGTGTTGGGCACTGGCTTGTTTGCGGCCGTTCTTCTCCGGTGAGGGGGAGAATATTATAATTTTTTTGTTTTTGTTTTTGTTTGTTTTTTGTGTGGGAGGGGGTGTGTGGGCGGGGGGATCGGGGCTTGGAGTGGGGCTCGGGATTTGCGCTTAGCTGTGTTGTGTGGCTTTCTTCTTCTTCGGATTGGTGCTGTGGGACCGGTGTTGGGGGGAGTCGTTCGGGGGCCGGGGTCGGGGTGGGGGTGCTGGCGCCGGTGCCGGGGGTTTTTGGGCATTGCCCGGCCCTACTGCGGGGTGGGTCTGGGGTGGCTCCTTGGGCCTGGGATCCCTGGGGCGCATTGCCCTTGGGCGGGGTCCCCGGTGGGGGTTCGGGGGTTCGGGTTCTGTGGGGAGTGCTGCTTGGGTTCTGGGCCGGTGTACGCCTGGCTGTCTGTCCCTGCTGCCACGGCCTCTGGTGTGCCGGGGTGCCTCGGGGCCTGCTGGGCTGGGGGGGGGCATGGACATTAACACCTATGGCAAGTGCTTACCCCCTCACGGGCTTGCACTCTGTAAGTGGGGGAAGGGGAGGGAGGGGGAGTAGGTATGATCTCGGCCTGGATGTCTTCTGTCGCTTGTGTGGTGAGTAGCTTGATTGTTATTGTAGGGGAGGGATTACATCTCCGGAGGGGGGGTTGGGGGTGGTGATAGAGGGAAGAAGATCTTTGAAGGGCTTTGGGTCTGGCTCCCTGTCTTGGTCCTGGTCCGTGCTGCCCCCTGGTGGGGCTTCGTCCGGG